GATAGGCCAGGAATGTGCCACCACCGTGGATGTCTGACCGCCTTGTTCAGCCAGGTGGGAGCAAGCATTGTTTTCAAAGACGGAGGGTTTGTGACCCACCTTCTCCTGCTTAAGGAGCCTGGAGAGAGGTGGTGAGCTGACCTGGCTGGCCCCCAATGCCTGTGCCTTGGTCCCTCCCAACCGTCTGAAGGAGGCGAGACTCTCACCATGGCCCGGGGTCGGGTCTGTCTCTGAGCCCTGGGACTGCTGTGGAGGCCCTGGGGCTGAGGGCTCCAGGTTAGACAGAGACCCGTGTGGGCCGTTCCTGCATGGTCCCCAGACCAGGAGGAGCAAGGCTGGGCCCATCACATCCTGATTCTTCACCTTCCTGGCCGGCTAGGGCCCAGGGCATGTCTCGGTCCCCTTCCCAGGGTCTGCTGTCACTCCCCTGGGCGCTGTCAACACCTCAGGGAAACTGGAGCGAGCAGATGCTGGTCACCACAAGCAGGCGATCCGCTCTGTGGGGCCAGGCAGTGTTGGGAGGAGAGGGTGTGCTGGGAATAGAGGTGGGAAACGCACATGCCCATAGTTCCTGGGTGTGTCCAATGGTGGGAAATGCTCAGTGTGTGACAATGGGGGGCATGGCACTCCTGCGGCGGGTCAGCCACCACCAGTGGGTTGTGGGCTCAAGGTCCCCACTGAGAAGTAGGCATGTGACTGGGCAGCGAAGTCTCCCAGAGAGCAGATGTGAGCAGCTAACCTGCAGTAGGACCTCAGATGCCTGTGGGCCACCTCCAGCTCACGGGGGATGATGGACAGCCACCCTCTCCACTGCTCACTGGGGAAGGTTGAGCTCCTCCTCGGGTTTCAGGGGCTGCCTGTTTCAGTGCCCCCCTCTCTCCTGAGTTCTCTGCTCCCTTGTTTTCCCTTTCCCAGGCACATACAGGCTGCCTTTCCCAGGATGCTGCCCAGACACCCTGGCACCCCCTACCTGCTGCTTTCTCCACACGTGCCCCTCTGCCAACAGCCCGTGCCTCACCTTCCCCAGATGAGAGCTCAGTCATCACTGAGCTGTCCTGGGAGATGAGCAGGCATGAGGACACGCCCCTGCACCCCAGGCTCTGACTGCCTTGCTGTGGTCAGGGGCAGTCCCCCCTTCCCTGGACCCAGGCTCCCATCCTTTGAATTCTGGCATTCTTATTATTTTAACTTGCTGCTGGGCTGCTTACAGAGGTCACAGAGGCACTCGAGTGTGGACAGTAGCTGAGGCACGCAGAGGGCTCATGGGCACCGTGGTGTGGTGACTGCTTGGTGCCCACGGAGCCAGCAGGCATGGGCCCGCTCAAGTGCCAAGGAGGCTGGCATTTCTGTGCTGCCTGCCAAGTCGCTGCGGGCGGGCACGCAGTGGCAGTGGGGGCGAGTGGGCATGCTGCAGTCCTGGGGGACAGGCCAGGTGACCTTCCGCATAAGGCAGAGGAGGGAGCAGCTTGGCTCCCAAGGACCTTCTCCAGGAGGAGGCTCCTGCCCGCCGTGTGTGCGCCTGCTCCTGTGAGCAAGCGTCAGGCTAAAGGCTGCACCAGAACAAAGAGCTGGGGGCTGGGTATCTGAGGGGCCCACGTGGAGACGCCTGACTTGGCAGTTTGCTGCAGTGTCTGCTCTCTCTCTCTCTCTCTCTCTCTCTCTCTCTCTCTCACACACACACACACACACACACACACACACACACTCACTCATGAAGAGCACTGCCCCCAGGCCTGCTCCAGCTCCAGAGCCCACCAATGCTGGCGAGCACAGCCAGCCCAGCCCAGCGCCATCCCTCCTGACAAAGCACGCTCCTTACTGCATGATCTCATCCACAGCCCTCATCTGGCCCCAGCTTGGCCTCCTGACAAGAGAGACAGGCAGGAAGATGTAGCAGGAGAAGGGGTGGGGGAAGCAGGCAGGGAGAGAAGGGGAGAGACACACACAGACACACAAAGACATGCCCACAGCTCCCCCGACACACACACACACACACACACACACAAGCCCCCTAATGCATCCCCCCGAGACACACTCACCGTCTCACACACACAGACATGCATGCACACACAAACACCAAGGAGAAAGTCTGAGAGGCGGAGGGAAGGGAAGGACAGGCAGAGACAGACAGACAACATCAGAGACCCCCAGAGAGAAAGGAGGGGAGAGACCTGAAAGGTGAAAACTGCAAAAGCCAACCAGACATGGTGGGAGCCCAGATGGAGACTGCAAGACTGGAGGGCAGAGCGGCAGCACACGCTGGCTGCAAGAGCTCCGAGGGCAGAGAACGTTCTAGAACTGCAGAGGCCTGACTGGGAGGGGCCTGGGCAGGCCCAGCTGTGGGCAGGGCGGCCATGGGGACCCCTACAGCTGTACCAGAGGTGGGTTACACAGGTCATGCACCCACAGAGCCTCGGGGAAGGAAAGCGGAGGAGAGCTGTGTAACAACAGGCAAGCCACAAGGCCTCTCAGCTTCAGCTCCCTCCTTAACGGGGGTAGGTAATACCCAGTGGGGTATTACCTATACCCATAAAGCTGGGGCTGCAGCAAGATTAGGGAGCACCCAGCACGCATCAGCAGGGCCATAGGAGACCCGGGAGGGAGGGCTGCACGGGGCCTGACCTCTTCCCCGACAGGGACCCCACTTTCCTGCTTCCCCCTAACCCTTTGACTTGCTTTCCTGCCTTGGTTTTGCTTTTGACCTATCCTTTAGTCAAGGGGCGGGGAACCATTTTTCTGCCAAGGGCCATTTGGATATTTATAACATCATTCGAGGGCCAGGCAAAATTATCAACTTAAAAATTAGCCTGCTATATTTGGTCAAACACTTAATTAACTCAGCCCTGATGCCTTGGCAGGGCCGGACCAAAATCTGAGGGCCCTGTATGGCTGCGTGCCAGACGCTCCCCACCCCTGTTCTAGATTCACCCCCTGGTCTCCTCCCAGCTCCGCAGGAAGGGGAGCCTTCCTGGTCCAGCTGCCAGCATCCTCGTCCTCATGTCCCCAGCCACCCGCCAACCAGCTCCCCTCCCGCCCCCATCCCACCCCTGCAACCTGTTCTGTTCTAGTTGGAACAATCCTTGCAAAATGGGAATTTAGCCATGTTCTCATTATTTTTAGAACAAAGACCTAATCCTCAAGACAGGCCCCATGGGCTCTCACTGCTGCTCACTTCTGCTTCCGGGTTCTGGAGCCTCTGCCCTGTCCGTTCCGCTAAAAGCCCTGCTTCCTTCCACCTCAGGGCCTTTGCACAGAAGGTTGTTCCATTTATCTGGGAAGTAGCTCTCCCTCCTTTTCCTCATCTATTCAACTCAGCCTTCTGCCACTCCCGCGTGGTCTCATGGCGTCCCTGAATTTTCCTTCGTGGCACTGATCACAGCTTAAACTTACACACATGCATACACACAGATACACAAATGCACACACACATGCGCCTGTGATGGTCTGATCAGTGCTTTTCTCTCTCACTCTCTAGACCAGGGGCCAGGAAACCATGGCCTCTACCTGCTTTCATGAAAAAGGTTTTATTGGAACTAGCCACACTCCTTCATATCGCCTTTGGCTGCTTTTGCACCGACTGCGAGGCCTAACCTATTGACTGCCAGGCCCTTTCCAGAAAAAGTCCGCCAATCCCTGCTCCAGACCGCACGTTTGCCAAGGTGAGGCGTTGTCTGTTTTATTTCTCATGAAGCCCAGGCTTGGCCAGGTGCCTGCACAGAGCAGGTGCTTATCAGAGACATGGATGCACATATTTCTGGGAAAAGGAGCGATTTTTACCTTGTCAAAATTGTATCGACTTAAGTTATTATGAAAACTGCAGATTCCATCTGGAACAGACATCACTTACGAGATTCCAAGAGCAATACTGGCAAGCAGTTCAATACAACAGCGACTTCTCAACCCAGGCCGGCACATCCTGACCCCACCTCAGCTCCTGCCAATGCGACCCTGCCCCCCTGTCCAGAGGTGCCCACGACCCGGTGCACGACCGCCTGCAGACATGAGATTGGGACTTAGGAACACACATCACGGATGCCCTTTGAATGTTTCCATTAAGGCTCTTTCTACATCCACTCCAAAGACCTGAGTCGACGAACTCAGAGAAAACTTTGTCTGTTTTGTCCTTATTCGGAGAAATGGTTGATTTTTTTCTCTTTCAACTAGTTTTTCTGACTTGATAAGAATGTTAATAATCGCGAGACACTGAGTTTGGCACTGTACATCTTTCTAGAACTTACAGTGATGACTGCAAGGTCGGCCACATGGTCATTCCTGCCTTCCCGGGGAGAGGAACTGAGGCTCAGAGATCACACACTCAGCAAGTGGCCGGGCTGGGGTGGGACAGGCCCTCGGAGGACTGAAGCTTACACCGCACTCCGGCTTCGGCGATGAGGATGGTGGGCAGTGTGCAGCTACCTGCCTGGTGGGTGTGCAGCCCTCACAGGCAGAAGCCACCTGCCTCTCAGGGCCTCAACTTAAGACGAGGCCATGAGGTCCCTGTTAGAAGCCTGGACGTGCTGATTTGTTTTTATTGAACATTTTTTTGAATGACTATAGTGGAGTGGCAGAGTGAAGAATGCTGACTCAGGAATGGAGACCTGGACTTAAATCCCAGCTCTGCCACTTTCCAGCTGAGTGACCCGGAGAAATCTCTTCAGCTTCTCGAAGGCTCAGTTTCCTCCTCTATAAAATGGGAATGATCACAGTACTCATGCGCAGGGGTCACTGCGGTGATAAAATGAGACAATGTGTCTGCTGTTGGGGTTTGGTGTGCCTTGGACCACCTGTTGGCCCCGAAGTGCCTCTAAAGGTAGGAATACTTCCTGAGACAAGGAACAAGTCCTGCCCACGGGCTCTGAGTCCAGCGGCCCCTGGAGGCTAACACCACATCCGGATAAACCTCGGCACCAGCCCACAGGGGCGGCGAACAGCCCTGGGTTAGAGTCCAGCTCCCCTCCCACGTCCCGATGATGTCCGTGGAGCCCCCCTCGGTCACCTACCGGCAGACTTCGGAGTGAACTTGTCCCGGTTCGCGGCACACACAGCCAGCAGTCTGTAGCCGAGGTCCAGGTCGAACCCTTGCTGAGCTGCCACCCGACTGACCACCTGCCAGCAAGAGGGGAAGGGAGGGCAGGGGTGAGTCACTGCCTAGCCCAGGCCTCTGAGCCCAAGGAGCAGATGTGCCCATTTTATGGGTGAGGCGGGCAGGCTGAGGCCTCATCAGTCACTCAGCAAACAGGGACAAGCACATCTTCCAGGCCAGGCCTCCCGGACCCCAGAAGGCCCATGCCCACCTCCTCCCCGCCATCATTACAGATCTCCTGTACCCACCGTCTCGGGGCCTTACTGCCTTCATACTCCAAGCAAGGTCCCTTCCCAGAGCACTGACACCCTGTCCAAATCTGCCCATAGGGAGAAACACTGACTTAGGACACTGGGCTCCCTTGGAGCTCCAGCTTGGAGTCGCCCAACTGCCAAGCCTCCCCAGACAGACACTCCTCCATTCCTCGCTGCCCAGCACTGGGCCAAGCCCCTTGCAGGCCCTCGGACCTCAGCCCAGAAACTGTACAGCTCTCACGCGTGGCCTGGGTCAGTCTCCAGGGCCATGACTGGCTCGCACACAGGCGGCTTCCATAAGCACATCACCAATAGCTGGAGCCTGGAGGTCCCACCCACCTCCTGTGACCCTACTAGTATGGCCCCGGGAGGGAGAAGGGAGGGCCCCGGAGGGCTGGCGTCCCCAGAAGCAGTGTGGGCCAGGGGCTCCTGGGCCCTGCAAGTGGCCCACAGGCTCCCAGCCATCAGGCCCCACTTCCTCCCCTCCGCTCCCAGGTGTCCTGTGCCGGCCAGCGCTGCTCCCTCCTGCCCGCCTTCCTCATTAACGGCAGGCAAATTAGGCTCCTTATTAAGAAGAAAGGACCTTGGGAGATGGAGTCGCTCCAGGAAGCAGCTGGGCGGCTCTGGCTGCCTGGGAGAGGAGTCCAGAGGTGGGCTCTCCCTTGAGAGAGGGAGACTCACCGCCAGGCCCTAGAGACCTCCTGCTCCAGAGGTGCACGGAGCCCTCGGAAGGCCCCAGGGGGTTACGGGGTTGGGCCTGGCCCCTGTGTCCATTAGAACAGTTCCCCATAAGGTGCTTTCTATGTAGGAGGTCCTTACAAGGACTCTACGGCTAACAAGGGTGGGAACACCCCTAATCTAGGCCGACACTTTCATTTAAAAATGCAGACCCTGGAGAGTGTCCGTGATGAATCAGGGAAGAGCGGGAGATCCCCTTCCCAGGACGCCTGGAGCCTCTTGGGATGGGGCCCGGCCTCCCCACCCCATCTCCTGGGAACCCCCTGGAAGGAGGAAATAGGACTTTCTCAGGTTAGAATGTCTGCTCAGCTTCTCGGCCTCAACAGAAGCCCCTTCTCAGCCTTAAGCAGAGGTCTTCATTCCCGGCCCCTGCCCCCCAGGCCTCTTTCCCATGGGCTCCATTCTCTCCTGTGCAGTGATTCTGAAACTTCCCCCTCTCCCCCCCCCCCCCCCCCCGCCCACTCCCACACACACACCATGTTCCAGAATCTCTGGGCCACCCCAGGGCGGGGGTAGCCTCACTGTGAGCTGAGGCTCATATGTTCAAGCAGGAAAACAAGGCCCTAGCTCTCTATGGCAGACAGACAGCAGGCCTGCGGACAGACATGCAGAGCCCTCCTCGGGGAGGAGAGCCCCGGGGGTGGACAGCGTGCACAGGGAGTCCGTTTGGACGGGAGCATCAGTGAGGCTGCTGTGTGTGGGAAATGTCAACACAGGCGAGCAGTGCAGGAAGAGAGCTGGCTCCGGGCGCTGAGGGCTGAGTGAACGCTTTGTAAGCAGCGATGCTCCGAGTCCTTACCACGGCTCGTGGGGGGGTGTTGTTATCTGTCTTATAGATGAGGAAACCGAGGGTAAAACAATAGCTTCGGGTCCATGAGAAGGCCAGAATGTGACAGCCAGGCAGCCAGGCCCTGTGTGTGGTCCGCTCTTCCTAAGAGAGAGCCTCCTTCTCAGCCCACAAAGGGTTAAGGCCACCTCTTCCAACTGACCTGGCCCGGAGAACCCTCAGGCCCCAGTGGGAGGGCAGGAAGGTAAAGGTCCCACTGTTTGGCCAATACTGGCTAATCCTGTTGCTCTGGTTTAAAAAAAAAAAAGAAAAAGAAAAAGAAAAAGTAGCTACATTGAGCAAGAGGGGCCTGGTGCTGGGGCAAGGGCAGTCCTGCCGGCCGGGCGGACCCTCCAGAGGAGCGGAAGTGTTCCCCAAGGCCCCGAGCACCAGCCTTCAGAAGAGTCGCTGAAGCCGGGAGAAGGCAGGGCCTCGCTGAAGGTCACACAACACAGGTGTGGCTGAGCGTGCTGCGCCGGACCCTGTGACCCCAAAGTGCGCGCGCGCCCCTGGCTGTGGGCCCAGGCTGAGGACCCTGGGCAAGTCCCCCGAAGTGGGCCCAGCTGAGCAGCCTGTCGTGTTTCGGAGGCCTGCTCCCTGCCAAATGGGCAGCACCCTCTGTGGGGTCCCCTGGGAGGAAGACCCCCTTCCACAAAGGCTGTGGCAGGCAGCCTCGTGCTGCTGCCCTCTGCTGGCTGCAGGGCCTACCCAGTTCAGCCCTCTGCAGGCTGGCTGGCTGAGACCCGGACCCCATGCCCGGGACCGACAGGTCGGAAAATCCAGCCACTCGTGCCACAGAGAGAAATGGACGCCCAGATGAGGCTCCTGTTGATGTGCTAACTGGTCTCAGTTTCCTTCTTCCACCTCAAGAGAGGGGGCTGTGTCAAGATCACGTGGCAAATACGTCAATCCCATGAAGCGAGTGCGTTGCTTTGAAAAGTGGTGAGCCTTCAGGCCAGGGAGCAGGGCAGGCTGTCTGGGAGTCAGAGAAGGGTTTCTGCTCCCGTGGGGGGGCTGGACAAACAGCCAGCCCCTTCTGACTCCAGCCGTCGTCGGGGAACAGGAGGCATGCTGGGCCTGTGCGCTAATCCTGCTCCCCTCTATCCTGTGCAACCTTTGGCTCAGTCACACAACCTCTCTGAACCTCAGGCCCCTCTCCCGTGAAGGTTTGAGGATGACCCCCATTTCCACAGCGATGTGTAAGGGCCCTGCCACGTTCAGTCTCCTGGCTGTACCCTAACCCCTCAGGGCACTTGGTTACCAGTCTCAGCATAGGGCCGGGCTGGTCTTTGTGCTGCTGCTTTGGAGTCAGACATGAGACTGGGTTCTGGTTCTGCCACTTACTAGCTGTTCTCTCTCACTCAAGTAACTTAATCTCTCTGAGCCTCAGGGTCCTCAGATGTAAAATGGGTACAAAATGCCCTCCTCGCAAGGGTGACAGCCAGCACAGAGTTCAACCAATGCTGTATGTGAATGTCTGCCCAGGGCTTTGGCAGTGAGGGCTTTGAGGCTGCAGGGACTTCCTTACAGGAGAGATGAGGCTCCCGTTGATGTGCTAACTGGTCTCTGTTTCCTTCTTCCACCTGCCTCCCCTCCCCGGAGCCTTCTAACAGGAGGAAGAGGCAGCGACCAGGGAGGCCTGACTGTGAGGGGCACACCCAGAGAAACATCCTGGCTCTGTCACTAAGATGGGGGCCGGGGAGTGAGCAGTCAGCACCATCAGGAAAAACCTGGTCCTGAGCCGGGGAGGTGCCCCAGGCTCCTGCACTTCTGAATCCTGGGGTCAGAGAACATGAAGGGAGGGTGGACCGAGGCCTGCCAGGGGCCCAATGGGGCCCAGAGCCAGTCCTTTGAATTGTGCCAGAGCTGCTTGGAAGCAGTGGAGCAGTATGGCACAGACGTGTCCGTTTCTGCTGAGGCTAAGTGGTTTTTAATTTATATCCTCTAAGTAAGCCGGATCCAGAGGAATTTGCTCCCAGAAGTCACCCAGGGGATTGTGGCAACCAGGGAAGCTCAGGCTGCCACCTGGATGGGGCGAGGTACACGTGTTTGGTGGGGGCTGGACAGCCTTGCTGGTTGGGGCCCTTGGGGTCTCTGACCACCCCAACCCACCCCCCTCTGTGGGCAGGGCTTGGGCTAAGGGTGCCTGGGGGAGGGGAAGACTGGCAGAATGGCCCTGGGGCACCTGGGGATGGTCAGCGTTACCAGCTGAGACAATGCCAGCTGCTCCCGCACTCTGTTGCCTTGTTCTGCCCAACTTGAAGAGTCTGATAAGGCTGCAAGGGGGCAGTGCCCAGAAAAGTGCCTTCTGTGACTCTCCTGCTCACCTTTCTCTCCCACTGGTTCTACTGAGCTCCAAGGATGGTCAGACTCGGGTCACTGCAGCTGTGGCTGGTGGGCCAAGAACCCCTTTCTGACTAAGTAGCAGGTGCGGGGAGTGAGGGGCAAAGATGGCTGTTCAGCCAAGTATATGCCTTAAGCAGGGGTGCCAGGAGGAGAGGCCCAGCAGAGGGCGCTGTGCCTTTGTCCAGTTTCCCCTGCCTGGGAAGCACACCCCTTCCCCTGTTCAGTCAGACCCTAAGGGCCCTCCCTGGACTTCCTCCTCCAGAAAGCCCTCCACAATCCCTCCATCCTACCCTCTAAGGATGCTCCTCTTCAGAGCTCCTATCCTCACCCAAATCGTATCCCATCACCCATCTGCTGAAGACCTTGCAAGGGCTGGCCATCGCCCTTCAGATATGCAAACCGTTCGTTCTCACTTGGCCTGCTGGCCCTGAGTTAGCTGCTTTCTGCTTCCTCTTCAGCCTCCTCTTGAGCCCTCCCCCCTTCGAGGGCTCTGTACCTTGAACAAGCCAAGCCCCGGGGCCTTTGCACTGTCAGTTCCCTCTGCCTGAGGACCCTTCCCTCTCATTGAAGCTGACTCCTAGCCTGCAGGTCTCAGCTGGAGGTCACCTCCTCAGGAGGCTTCTCCTGACTGCCAGCCTGTCCTTCTCACAGTGTGTGTCCTTCGTGTCAGCCTCCCTGGGAAGTCAGCTGCTTGGGAGGGGTCTGTCTGTCGCACTCACCGCACCCCCTCTGTGCCCCTAGCAGGGCCTGGCCCACTGCAGGGACTTGGTGAGTATGTATGGAGTAGTGATGAGTATTAATGAATGGATGAATGACAAGGCTACTAGGGCAGAAGAGTTACTGGCCATCTGATGCCCACCTGCCAGTCCAGCCCAGTTAGGGCCATTGTCTGATTCAGCTTCAAGCCCCACGCCCTAGGCAGGGCCAGGCTTGGGGCAGGGTGATGGGGAACATGGCAGCCTGCCTGGCTGTGTGTTAGGGGTGATGCCCAACCCCTCCTTTACTCTGGCTGCTGCAGCTGGGGCGGGAGTGAGTAACATCTGTCCCTGCACACAGGGCTTAGCCTGAACCAGGATCCCCGCAAAGAGGATTAAGGGAGCTGGGCTGGAGGGAGGGAGAGCAGGGGGCTGAAGGCTGAGGAGGGCTGCTGGGCAATGCAGGCGGCAATCTGAGTTGGCCTGGTGCTCCCCATGGGGGCCAGATGGTATCGGCTTTGGACACACAGAGGAGCCTGGGAGGGGCCTGGCGCATCCCTGCCCGGCATGCCTGATGGCCGGGGGCTTTGCTGTGGAGGCAGATGGGCCTCAGCGTGAATCCCGGGTCTGCTGCTCACGGCTGGGGGACATTGGGAGGTCCGGCACAAGTCTCCATTTCCTCCTCTAGAAAACGGGGAAGGTGGCAGGACCAGCTGCACCGAGTGGGGGTGAGGATTCCGGGAGAAGGCGTGCCTGGCGGGCCAAGCTCAGCGTCAGGCAGAGAAGAGGTGCTTGGTAACGATGGCCCACCTTGCGGTCCTTGTGGTAGCTATTCCTCTCATTCCAGGCCCGGATGTTCTGGGCCTTTCGGGGATGTTCTAGGCCTTTCGCTTAACTCCTGGCTGCAGTTTCACAGGAAACGTGATGCTCTCCTGCTTTACCCATTGTTTGCCTTGGCCAGGCCTCCATCTTAGTCTCTCCTGCCCACTCCTTGGGGTAGCGGGGTTCCCCAGCAATCTGTTACCCACATTCTCTTTAAAGCTGACCCAGGCCCTCTAAGCAGCTGTCCTCACTGGCCCCCGAGGTGCCCTCACACTGACCGAGACCGGTCACTGGCTGGGGACATTCATGAGAATCGGGCTCCTTCCCTGTGGCTGTCCACCAGCAAGTTCCTAAACTTGGCCAACCATACCACCAGCTCGGGCCTGGCCCCCGCTGAGCTGGCATCCTCGATCCTTCCCCAGCTGAGTTAACGTCAGTTCTCGGGGTCTCGTGTGCATCCAGGCCTTTGCACATGCCCAGGTGCCCAGGACACTGGCTACGCTCTGCAGCTCTGTGGACCATGGTCCTGTAGATGGCGAAGTGGATCCTTTTCTCAGCGTCCTGTGACCCTCCCGCCCATCTCCCAGGGAAAGCTCCCTTTCTGAATCTCCTCCACCTTTACACAACTTTCTCAGCCATCTCTTTCCACGTCCACGCCTGTCTCCTTTACTGAAGAGGAAATCAGGCTCGGCAGAGCCTTACTCATCACTGGGTTCGCAGGGGATTGTACATGATAAACGAGGGATCAATCAGTCTCATTTAGATCGGTGGATGGATGTAATAGGAGCTCAATAAATGCTTATGGGAATAGCTATGTGGATGGATTACCATAAAAATAGCTCAATAGGTGTCTACCTAAGTCAAGGAACTAATGACTGGGTAGATGGACAAACCCTTCAAGAGCCTCTCTGCTTTGTTCATGATGGAACATTTACCCCATCAGACTTACAACTCGCCAACGTAGGCCTGGTCTCTCTCACATCATCCTGGGGACTGTGTCTCCCCATCAGACCAGTTTCCTACGGTGCCTGTATGTCAGGGGTGAGCACAGAGGGCCATTGCCTCCATCGGGGATGTCTTCCTCTCTTTCATCCCCATCACCCATGGCTTCCCCTGACCCAGCATGCTGGTCCCAGCCACCTTCTCTGGGCATGTGCAGGTGGGGAGGGTGCGGACTCACCGTCAAACAGCCCATCAGGCTCTGCTCGAAGGGCCGCTGGAAGGCGCGTGGGTCTCCACACCAGTCCAGCAGCTCCGTGGCGGCATTGTGGAAGTTGGCAGGGTTCTGTAAGTGCTGCGGGGAGAGAGGAGACAACGTGAGGTCCCGGGAATGCAGACGGAGTGGTAGCAGGGAAGACTCCAGGCCTTCGGGAGAGGAGACTCAAAGGCCGATTAACGAGTTTTCTTCACCTTCTCCTCATACACCTTCCCTTTGCACCTCCTTCCTAGTCCAGACCCGGGCAGCATGGGGATAAGCAGCCGCATTGTAAAGGAAGGAAAACCAAGGTCAGAGAAGGACAACGACAGTAGGAATTAAAGTGATGTCTGGGTCCTGGCAGTGCAGGAGGTAGACCCTCCCTGGTTCAGGAGGGTGCCATCTGGCCCCCCAAATTGGGGGTTAGCTTTTCCTGAGCCAAGACAGGTTGGTCCTGGAGATTCCTTCTTGACAACTCCCCTCCCACTCCCTCCACCTATGGCCTCACACCAAATGCTACCACAGCTGAGTCACAGGAGCAGGGGGCTGGGAAGCTGGACCTAAACCAGGTTGTCACACCAGGGCCCGGTGGATGTGGCTTTTCAGCTCCTGGTCTCCGGGTCCCAGTCTGGCTCGGCTCGGGGCTGTCGGCATTGTTGGGAGGGGTCCCAGCCGAGCCCAGGCCCCTCCCAGTCAGGGGTCTAATCAACAGAAACTGATTCTGGTGCCAAGGCCTCTAGACCCGGCCTCGGACTCGCGTCTTCCCTCCTTGACTTATACGTGTCTTCCAGGCCCCGCTGGGCAAGGCACTGAGCCCAGCCCCATGGAGCAGGTGGGGAGAAGCTGGGAGCCCCGTGTTGGGGGTGACTAAGTGTGGGTCCTCCAGCGGGACATCTCCTGGATGTCCCCAAAGGTCAGAGTGTAGGCAGCTGCAAAGGGGAAGGTGGTCCTTCTGAGCTTCCTGTGGCCTGGGTGCTGGGCGGCTCAGCTGCCCGGGGGACTGCCGCCTCCCCACCTGCAGCAGGAGGCAGCCTGTGCCAAGGCGGGGAGAGGTCTCAGGGTACAGGTGCCAGGAGTGGGAAGGGAGCAGAATGTGCTGTGTGAGCCCGGGCAGGGTCTCTGGGGGTCACTCTGCCTTCACCTCTGACCAGCTGCCAAGCTAGGGCACAGAAGCCCACGGGACGGTGGTGGAAATGTGTGTTTCTTCCACATAAGGTTTTATATAACGTGGCTTGTGCAAGGCAAGGTTTAAAATGGGTGGAAGCAAGTGGCACGAATGAGAATACCCTCCTTCCATGAAAGAACAAGGGGAAGGGGAGATGAAGGAAAGGAGAGGGCAAGCATGCAGCCACACAGCCCTGTCACAGGGCCGGGTGGGGACTAAACAGGAGGAGGCTCACCCAGCTCTGGCAAAGCACCCAGCATGTGGGGTGTGCCCGCATGGGGCTGCCCTTGGCCGTGTCTGCCTCCCCAAGGCTGTCCGGGAAGCACGGCTGAGCTTGCAGCCCACAGCTCTGGCTCCACCAGCACCCTCTCTGCAAAGGCAGAGCTCGGTGCTTTGTGTGCAGCGCAAGAAGCAAACAATTAAAAATGTTGAACGTCCACATATAGAGGCACGCCCTGTGGGAGGGCACAGAGGTCCTCACCTCTGTCCCTGTACGCAGAGGTGACTGGTCCCCTCTGAGGCCACGGGTGGCACCTGGCTGCACCAGGAAAGCCGGGCACATTGGCCAGTTCCCTGCCCTCAGCCTCCTTTTGCTAACTGAATTATTACGTTTATTTACATGATGTCACACTGCATTAGTAGGGGCAGCAGCAGCCTCAGGCTGCTCTCTGAGCTGCCCGCCCACAGAACCCCAACTCTTGGCACCCTCTTTGGGGGCCCAGGGCTCACAAGTGGCCCATGAGGGCAGGCTAGGGGCCATCAGCTTGGGCTGTGAGCGGTCATCCCTGGGCACCACTCACTGGTAGGAAATATGTCAGGCATCCCATTCAGAGCCTGTTGCTCAGCGGCTCTGGCCAGGCCCCTCGCTTCTCTATGCGCTGGTCACCCATTTCCACTCGGAGGTGACAGGCGGCCACGGAGAGACTGAGTGATGTAGTAAAGTGAGCGGGACAGACCTGGACCAGACCCCACTTCAGCCACTGAGCCACACAGCCCCGCTGTGTCCAGAGCTGCAGGTCCCTCATCTGTAAAGGGAGTGATGGCAGCTCACAGGGCTGCTGCAAGGGATAGAAATGATGCCCCTGATGACATCCCCACATTGGGCCAGGGATGGCTAGACCTTTGCACGTCTCTCGTTTCTTCTACGAGCGTCTTGAGCATAGAAACAACACCCTGTCCACCTCTGGACCTGGAGATGGCACAAGGCCAGGCCCGCACAGGTATCAGTGAGCAGCCAACTGTCCAAAGGAGGGTCCATCTGGAGGGGCCAGTAGGCTGGCCACTTCAGAACAGGTCCCAGGGGCACATGGAGAGGCTGGTGGGTGCGGCTGGCCAGCTGTGGGTGGGCTGGGCATGGGAGCACAGATCTGACCCACAGGCACAGGCCTTCCTGGCTGTGGCAGGGAGGACACTAATCCCCCGTCCCCATCAGGAAGCCTGCCCATCGCCACAGTTCCTCAGGAGATCTGGGCTCTCTCCACTGCCACTGAGCTGCTGGGGCAGGAGTAGCGGACAGTGCCCAGACCAGGAATTGGCTACCCAGACCAAGTGATGAATGCCTTTTCCTGTCAATCTACCTGTAAATCAAATGACCCATCCATCCATCCATCCATCCACCCAAATGTGAATCAGTTCATAACCATCCATCCACTTACCCACCCACCCATTCAGCCATCCACTACTTTATCCATCACTCATCCATCCACTCATCTACCTACCTATCTACCTATCCATCCAGAATTTATCCAACCACCAACTCACCCATTCATTCATCCATTTATCCATCCATCATCTATATATCCCCACCATCCAACCACCTCATTGCCCATCCACTTGTCCATCCACCCACCCATTTATTCATTCCCGTCGCTACCCACTTATCAGTCCACCCCGCCCCCTTTCCCCTGCACCCTGGCCTTGGCCCTAAGTGAGACTTAGAGATGGATATGGCACATCCTCTGCTCCCAAGGAACGTAGCCTGGTAAGGGACCTGGTATATGCTCTGCAGGACCCACAGCTCAAGGGAGAAAGAACAGGAGGGGTGGGGCAGCTGGGTGCCCTGGATGCATTGGAATTCAGAGATGGGCACCGGGATCTGGGGAGGCTGCTGAACAAAAAGGAGCCCATTTGCATGGCTTTGCAGGTAAAGCCCAGAGATGCCTGACGACTGAGTGGGGCACAGTGCAGAGGGCACTGATGCTTCTGGTACCTGAGGTTGAGAAGGGAAAAGGCAGCTGAGCCAGAGGCCCAGAGGGAAGATGGGCAGCAGGGTGCGGGGGATGGTGAGTGCAGCGATGGCTGGAACAGGGCGGGCGGTGGGGGAGGGAAGGCGCTGCTGGAGGAGAGGGGCAGAGAGGAGAGCGGAGAGTCGGAGGCTGCAGGCTGGAGGCCCCTGACTGGAGCCCTCGCAGAGAGAGGTAGGCATCGCCGCCACATCCATCATCCTCAGCATGCAGACCTGCCCGCCTTTCTCTTCTGATTAGGATGCAGGATGTCTGAGAATCAGCAGTCCTCAGCCAGCTGCGGCCACCCTCTGGGGCAGCTGGGGAGCCTCTGACCTGAGGTGTGGGAGGGGCGTGGAGGAGGCAGAGAGCTCTGGGTGGCGAGGAGGGCATCTGGCCAGCTTGCTCACCCTCACGAACATGCCACTGTCTGACCCGAGCGCAGAGCTCCGTGGGTGTGCGCACACAGTGTGCGGGCAGACCGGGAGGAGCAGCTGCAGGGATCCCTGCCTCCAGCCCTCCGCACTCTATGGCTGGGCATGCACTGCCATGACCACTCGGCAGGCAAAGCAAGATAAAAGTGGCAGCTTAACCAAGGTCAGGTAGCCTGTGAGGGCTGGACTCAGTTAGCTAGTAAGTCTGGGTTCTGGGCACCCCCCTCGGAGAGGACTGAACCCGGAGAGGAAAGGGCACCCTGATTCCTGGTGACGCAGAGCCAGGCGGGGGCAGGAAGGGCAATGTTGAGCAGGCCTCAGGAGCAGCTGCGTGCCTGGCACAGACTCACGCACCGGGGGCATGACTGTATCGTGGGGGGTGGAGGCCGCTCATGGCGAACCCTCATGGGCTGGAGAAACTGGGTCAAAGGCAGAGCCCTGCAGAGGAGGAGGAGGAGGGAGCAGGGGAGGAAGGGAGCGCACGTCTGGTTTCTATTCCATGACCGTGAACAGAGGCGTAATTGGCATTGGGGAGAGTGGCTCGGGCTGAGTTCAATCTGTAATAAGTCCTCTTCAATTTCCTCCCCTCGGCCCGCGCACAGGCTTCCGAGATTGCCCTGCTTGAAGCTAATGGGAGGACACATGCCTCATTCCCGGGGCCAGCCTCAGCGCCACCAGCCCGGAGCCTGGGAGGACCTGCTGCAAGGGGGTGGGGGGGGGAGGTGGGCAGTGTACCAGAGAGGGTAAGGGGGTGGTAGTGGGGGGCTGAGAGCTGGGGTGCTAGGCCAGTGGCCCATGCTGGTTACCTGAGCTCCCTGCCAAACCCGCTGAAGCCAGGGGACGTGCCCCAGCACTGCCCTCCCTGTCGCTGAGCCACGGAGGACAACAGCCTTGCCACCACTAGCGGTCACCTGCTATGCGCCAGGGCTGGGCCTGGGCTTCACCCACAATATCCTCACAGCACCCTACCAGCTGACAGATGGAGAAACTGAGACCCCAAAAAACAAAAGGACAGCACACGGTGGGTCCATGGAGCTGTGAGGATCGGGCCCAGGTCTGTTTACTATCAGAGCCACACCCCTTCCCTGCATCTGCTCCTCCCAGGAGTAAAACAATATTCCTGCACAGATGCTGCCACTCGGAGCTGCAGGGAGGCGAAGCTCAGAGGGTGGGCACACCCTGCCCAGAGCTGAGGTCTGGGAAGGAGATCACCCACTGCAGCCTCACAGCGCACAGCAGAGCCCAGAGGGCAGGGGTGAGACAGAGCCGGCATTTGAACCCAGGTGTGTGTGACTCCAGTCAGGATGCTCCATGCCAGCAATGTTCTCCCAAGATGGGTAACCCCAGGCAGTCGACCCATATCCACCATCACCTCCATCCTGGGCCCCTGGGCACAGCTACAGGGCAGCCAGCACCCCTACTGTCTGCCCCTGCAGAGGAGTGAGCTGGGCACACACCCACCTGCTTGATGCACTGCAGGCGGTCATTGGTCTGCTGGATGTGCCTGTCCATAGAATTCATTCTGGCCGTTTCGCTGGGTTCTACCCGAGAGCCATGAACGTTGTCCAGCCTGTGGAGAGAGAAGAGCGTGGGTGTCACTGGGGTTGTGCCAGGCCCGCCAGCCTTACAGCCACCCCCCGAACCCCCACACTGACGTACTGGAGGCTCCCAGCGGTTCCTGGGCCATTTGAGAGGCATGGCGGCCTCTGCCCCAGGCACCCTGCGCTGGAGGAGGAACCGTGGCCCCAGCTGCCCAGCCTGTCCTCCCCAGTGTGGCCCTGGGAGTCCCATCCGGACTGAGGGTGGGAGGTGCTCCGGGCTTCTCTGTGGTGACTGATGTGAGCACTCGGCAGGCGTGTCCACCATGGGACGTGCAACGCCCACTCAGACACACGCATTTCTATGCACATGTGTGTTAGATGGTGGTGGTAGGATGGCAACTTCATTTCCAGATTCCGATTCAGGGCTTAGCCCACTCAATGTAGTTATGTGTGTGTGAGCATGTACATGTGTGAACATGTGTGTGTGAGAGCATGTATGTGTATGAGCACGTGTGTGTGGTGGGATCTTCCCACGTGTCGACCTCCACTGCACTTGTGGTGTAAGTGCAGGAGTGCCACGTGCCTCCTCAAACCCCCCACTTTGAGTTCTTCACACTTTACAAACCATTCCAACTCCATACCCCCCCTTTGGAAAGAAGGAGGAGGCAATTACTACCCTGTCCACTTTCTGGATGAGGACCGGAGGCTCGCAGAGAGGAAGGGAGCCACTCAGGGTGCACAGCGCCAGCCTGAATGTCCCCGCTCCCAGGCCCACTCTTCCTGCAGGGCCGGCGGGAGCACTGACGTGGGTGCCACTCCTCCCGGGTGGTGAAGCCGAGTGGGAGAGGCCCTCAGCTCCAAAGACCCGGAAACGCCAGGCCTCTGCAGGGCAGCCACACAGATGAAGGGGAGAGGGAGACAGAGGCGGAGTGCTCGGCTCTGGCGTCCCCGCCCTCAGAGGCCCAGGTCCTTGGGCCAAAGCAGAAGTGCGCCCAGTGCTGGGTGGGTCTGCCCTCCCACAACTCAACGGGCATTTCGGACACACAGTTGGACCTGGGCACTGAACAGAGGCTATGGTCCAGGCCTCTCTGCTATTCTGAGACACTGCCCTCCCACCCCCCCCAGGTTCCTCACCTCTGGCCCCACTCACTGGGCATTATTTCTATGTACTCTCTTTACTGCTCATGCTCACTCTCTAAGACTATCAGCATCTCCACTTTACAGATGAGGAAACGGAGGTCCCGAGACCTTCCAAGTCCCCACGGCTATTAGGTGTCCGGACTGGGCCCACAGGCCTGTCTGCTTCCAGGCCTGGGCTCCGGCCCCAGCGCCAGCAGCCTCGCAGCATGTCCGGCTCCAGCCTGCGGACAAAGGCTGCCTCCTCCTGCCAGGAGGTCTGCACCCCACCCTGCTCAGCCTGTGCTGGACAAGACAACTTATGTGCCTGGTTCACGACTGAGCAAGTCCAAAAAGGAATCCAGTGAAGCACTGGCCCATTCCCCAGCTCCTGGCGCCCTTCCTGGGAGGACCAGTCACCAGTCTCCGGGGAAGGGGGTTGGGGAGAAAGAGGGGCTCATCTTGGAGAAGCAAATATAATATCTGCGTGTCTTCTCCCTGCCACCCCTTAAAAACCAGAAAACGAAAGCATTGTACACACACTACCAGAACCTTGATTTCCCCCCCCCCTCTTAATGACATCTCAGACTTTATTCCACATCAAGACATAAAGAGCCTCTCCATTTTTCATGGCTGCACAGAATCCCAGGTTCGGACGAATCACCTGGACACCCCCCCCCCCCCAGGTGCTGCTCTCAGGGGCGAGACCCTGGTCACGGCCTCCTGCTCGGAGCGATAAAGCTGATGCTGTCGCCACATGTCCTTACGGCACACAGTGGTGCAGGGTCGCCGGTGTATTGGCCCATGATCTCGCATGGATGAACCTGGAGAACAGGCTCTTAAAGACCAAGCTGCTGCCTCACTGGGCCTCGTCCTTTTGATACGTGCTTTCTGGTTCACGCCATCTTGAAGCGCTCCAGCAGACAGATCACAATGAGGGCGTGTCCGTATCTATTTCTCCTTTCCTCAGCCCAGCAACCATCCCTCCACTCCCCCCACCTAGCACACAATTATACACTCAGATGCCCGATTCTCCATCCGTTGTTTATCCAACTACAAGCCTGTCTCACAGCTCAGTGGGCATTTCAGAGCACAGTCAGATCCGGGCACTGAACAGAGGCTTATGGCCCCTGCACACATCTCCAGTGTCCACTTGCCCATCCATGGCTGCTTCCAACTCCCCCGGCGAGTGCTCACCCGCACCGGTGCTGGGCTGCAGGGATGAAAATGAATTAACAATGTTCAAGAAACGCTTGGTCTTAGTCTGTACTCACTCTAGGTCACCTTCCAGGTGACTATTTGTTGGGCTCCTCCTGTGAGGCCCTGGGCACAGATAGACACTGTTACTATACCCCCTCCCACTTCACAGATGAAGAAACCGAGGCTCAGAGGTGATAGTAGAAACTAGCTTCAGAATCCCGGGTCACAAACCAAATTGAGCAGGGAGGCCCTGCAGGAGGGTTTTCTGATGTAAGCATGTGTGTGTGTGTGTGTGTGTGTGTGTGTGTGTGTGTATGTGTGGGGAGTGGGGGTAGAAGGAAGAGATGAGGGTGTCCCTGAAGTAGGGGTTGAATTTACACGCCCAGAGCTTCAGCCAGCCTCACGTGGCAAGTGCACCTGGGGCCAGAGACAAAGCATGTGGGCGCGGGCACATTGGCTGCCAGGGTCCCCATCAAGGAGTGGTTTCCACAGCCAGCCAGAGGGCCACATTTTGCCCCAGGCCAGATCCATGGAGCTTGCAAGCCTCAATCCTGTCTTCAGGCTGCAGCCAACCAGGATAAAGGGCCTGCGGCAACCCAAGCGGCCAGCAGGGGGCACTGTTGACGAGCCTACGTGCCCAGAAGGGCTTCTAGGCCTTGGTTAGTTTCTCCATTTGTAGAGCAGGATGGCGAGGGTGAGGGATCAGTTGGCCTCTCGAAGCTCCATCTCTAAGTAGGAGTTGTGCCCAGGATGAGAGACCTAGTAGGGCTTTGGTAAGGCACCTGTCAAATGACTGACAGATCATTTCTGGAGCCTGGGGCGCTTGGGCCACCCAGGGAAGCCCCAGTAGGCATGGGGAGTCCAGAGGCCCCCGGCAGTCACCTTTGGGCCCAGAGGCAGTGGGGCCACAGTTCTCGTGTTAGGAAGCAAACAGAAAAGGCAGGAGGGAAGAGAACTGTCCAGCTCAGACCCAGGCTCCAAGCAGCTCGTGGCCATCCTGTCTGGAAATCAGTAGCTGGTAGGAGTTGGCTTCTAGAGTCAAAGATTCTCCGAATATCAATACCCAAAGGTCCTTTAAAGTCTCCCACAAGCCTAACAGCTCAGCTGGCTTTATCTGGGGGAGCCCGAGGCCTGCAGGAGTTCGTCCAAAGCCACACAGCACAGGGGGCTGGGCCCAGGCCCCGGGCGCTCTTTTTCCAGGCGGGGGCTGCTGCCGGGAGGAGCCAAGCAGTGGACAGGTGGGCCGGGGGCATCTGTGAGACCCGAGACGGGGTGGCAGCTAGCAGGAGAGACGCCACAGGTCACAACTGTGCGTCGTCTATAGTAAAAGAACAGAATGCCTGGCTGATTGCAGAGGCACTCTCAGGTGAGGGGACATTTTTAAACTGCTGAGATCAATGGAAAATCAGGGCTAGCAACAGCAGGAACAGATGCGGCTGGCAGTGTCAGCAGAAGAGGGGTCAGGACCTGGAAGGCTAAGGGCCCCAGGGTCGGAGGGGGGGGGGGGGGGGCTAAAGTAGGCACGGGAGAGGGCACTCCCTGAGGGGTGGTCTGGACTCCCCCGTTGGTTCTGCACCTGCTACGTGCAGGCACCAGTCCTGGTCCTGTGCGTTGCTGATTTATTTAGTCCTGAAAGGCTCAGAGAGGTGGCACAGCTTGCTGAGATTCAAATGCTCTGCCTTTCTATTTCTATGTTGTTTCTTCCACTCCACCAAGAATGAAGCCTCTTGGAAGTCTCCCCCTGACCCCTGACCCCTGGCTATGACTGGGGCGTCCCCTTGGTTCCACCCAAACTGTCCAAATCCACCCACTTGCTTCCAAGGCCACTGGGCTCCTTGCATGCTGGCTGTCTCACCAAGTGACCAGTGTTCAGCGGCCAGCAGAGGTCGCCCTCCGCCGTGAGAGTGTTGCTGGCCACGGTTGCCTCCCTCCTCAGAGCCTGGATTCTGATAATAAGCCTTTACAAGTCACTACAAATCCTCCCAGGCTGCAGCTCCACTGTCCACCGTGGCATTCCCTCCCACCTGGAGGCTGTGCGGGCCTGGCCTTTCCTCGGCCGTCCGCCTCTGAAAGAGGGGCTCAAGCAGGCCTGCCCCCTCGCCTGGCCCCCGGCTTCTCTCCTGGTCTGAGGAGACTGGAGCCCGTAGGAGATGCAATGCTAGTCAGCCTGGGGGCCTGGAGAAGACCCCGCTCTGTCACGGCCTCCAGGCCTCAGTTTCCCCTCCTGTAACAGGAAGGCTAGCCAGCCTCTGGCAGCCCTTCAGACCCCAACATCTTAGGATTTCTGTCCGGAGTTGCAGCTGTTTGAATGCTCCATCTCGACAAATGTAGGAGCATGGCTCCAAAGAGCAAAGCAAGCCCGTCCCAAGGCAACCCCGGGACCTGCCGCTGCCTTTCTCGGCCTCACCCTGTTCTGGCACCTGCGCTCAGCTTGGCGTCACTGTCGAAGGTATGTTTTCTGCCTGGTGGTGACACCTGGGTGGGCTAGTCTTCCCAGCGCCTAGCTGAGCTCTCAGCTAGGCTTCTGTGTTACACTTCTTGGCACCCAGCACAGCACTGGCCAAGTTTACCTTAGTGCTGCCTGGCGCCGGGACATGCTCCAGAAAAGTTAGCTGCGATTATGCACACAGGGCTGCTCCAGAGGGAGAATGCTGGACCTGGGAC